TCTTTTCTCGAGTCTTTGTCTAAGCCCTCTGCCGACCCCATGCATCCTCTCCCGTGGGATGCACCAGAGTCCTTGTGATGGGGGCTTAATTAACTGGAGCCCGGCTTGCAGGATGGGCCCTCCTTGCCTCCCTTCCTGTGCCCTCCTCTCTCACACAGCACGATCCTTATTCCATGGGCACTAAACAGCCCCTCACCCCTGGGACCACCAGCCAAGGAGCGTTTGCTATTTCAAACTTAAAGCAGAGAAACGCTGGGGTTTCAAAAAACAGCCATCGCTCCATCATCCTCAGCTTCCCAGACTGTCAGTCTTTCTGTGAAGGATCAAAAACAAATGTGCGTTTTGGGGAGGGTGGAGGGCTATTCATAGAAAATTCCCATCTTAGAGTTTCTTCCCCAGAAACTTAAAAAGAGAGCCATTTCTTTGAAATGGCATATGGTGTATGTGTTTTCCCCTCTGCCGGAAGGACATGATCTAGTTTGGATTTTTTTTTTAACTTAAAAAAAGAGAAACCACAATGAAAACAATGTGTGGAAGAATCTTGTTCAGTATGTCACTTGATGGCTCTTTCTCTTCATGTTGCTTGGGCACTGCTGATGGGCTCCGGATGGAGTGATTTCCTGAGTCTCTGGGTTTCCACTGGGGCACGTGAGGACAGTTCTTGCTCATCTGGAAGGGTCCTGAGACCTCAGATGAGCTGGGGCCAATCTTCATCCCTCAGTTTACGTGGGTGAAAGTCGGTCCAGTTGGAGGGGGTCACCCTATCACCCTACGCGTGGGCCCAGGTGACTGGGCTTGTGAGCTGAGTGAATCTAGAAGGGCCACTGGGTGAGTGAGATGTACAGAGAGAGTCATGGAGGCGAAACAGTGCCTGCACCCTGAGTCTTTCCATCACCTGCTGGGGGTCCCCTCTGAAGCCTAGCATGTCCCTGGCCGGGACGAGCACGAATTCTCCCAAGGAGCAGTAACCATCACAGACTGTGAGATTACGGTAGGAAGAACATTCCAGCCCATCTAATCCCCTTTGTGCAGATGGATAATGTGAGCCCGGAAAAGGGACATCCTTTTACCAAACTCCCATCGCCCCTTCTAGGCAGGGCCAGTCTGGGATTCCGGGCACATGCTCCACCTCTGGCCTTACCACCTGACCCCTTATGTGGCCCTCTGAGAAGCTGCATAAGAGCACAGGACTCCCTGCAAAAGAGCCCCCAGGGCTTCCCACATCATGACACAAACTCAAGGTCTTCCCCCGGCCCGCCTGTCTTCTAGAACTGATTCTCCTGGCTCCCCCTGCACCCCTCTGCCCCAGCCAGGTTAGCCTTCCCGCTGAGATCACACAGCTCTTCCCCTCCCAGGTCTTTCTGTTTGTTGCGCCCCTTACCTGAAGCTCCCTCTCCTCCAGAAAGCCCTGACTTCCTCATCCAATTTCTCCAAGCCCCCTCTGATCCCTTCCCCTTTTCTTCTTAGCTGCATCACCCTCTGACATTATGTTATACATGTTTTTCCTAGTTTGTTCAGCACTTGTATCCTCATAGGGGAAAGCTCTGTGAACGCAGTCGTGCAGGCTGCCTTGGTGCCTCACTGCTCCCAGGGCCTAGAACAGTGCCTGCTGCACAGCAAGCACAAGGAAATGAATGAGTGAGTAAATGAATGAATGGATGAATAAATGAATACTCATCATACCCATCCAGTGGCTGTTTGCCCAAAGGTAGCCCACTGATATGAATGAATTTGGTGGCCTCTCTGAGAGTGGGCAGAGAGAGAGGTCTGGATAGCAGGGGTCCCTGGCTTAGACTCCTTGCTCCTTTACCTGTTAGCTGAGCCTAGGCACATCTGCCCACCCTGGAGCCAGAGCTGGGTGCAGCTGTGTTGGAGCATGAATACTCAGGCCCAGTAGGGCCTGCTCTACACTGGAAGCTGGGCTGTGCTTGGGCAACCACATGAGGCTTGGATGGGAGGAGAGCAAGAAAGCACCTGTCACAAAAGGCCTGGTCATTGCACTCCTAGAAATAAATACACACCACTCAGCCTCGTGCTTTCCCAAACAGTGTGAGGGGCCGTATTCAAGCCCCACATGGCAGCAGACCTCATCACAGATGAGCACCACCGCCCGACTTTGCCACCCTCAAGCTGCTGGCCAACCTAACATCTCTGCTCACAGCCAGTGAGGTGGAGGGGACGATCTGGATTAGATGGTTTTGGGGGATCCCCTTTAATCTTTGCAGGTACAAATTCAAAGAGAAAAGGAGCATATCAGGCTGCTGGGGGATAGCCAGTGGGAAGATCGGGAATTCTGGGGTGAATACAGCCTCCTTGGGTTGCTGTGAAGACCCTGGAATTGATATTTGCAAAATACTTAAAGTCAGGCCTGCCACTCGGTCTTTGTTAAATATAATTTGTAAATAAGGTAGAGACAGCAGGACCCCACGGATCACGCTTGCTCCCAGGGACCTGCCTCTGTGTATTCATCTGGGCTGAGCATGGCCTTGGATTCTCCTCCTGGCTGTGCCATTTTAGCCTGTGACTTTGGTGCTGAAATAAACCTTGGCCTCCATTTCCTTATCTGTGAAATGGACTTAATAGCACTCACCCTGGAGGCATTGGGGGCTTTTGAATATACATGGAGATGTTCAAAAATACACAGAAGCAAGCCATTTTTATCTTGTTTGTTTTTTTTAAGATTATTTTTATTTATGCATACAAGAACCAGGTGTAGGCCGAGACAGAGTGGGGAGCAGAATAGGCAAATCCACTGAAATACACTGCTGAGGGGAGCAGTGGGCGAGACAGGAGAGGTCTGCTGCACCACGGGTCACCTCCCTGGCCGGGGATTGAACTTGTGACGCAGTGGCTGGCAATAGCTTGATAGTGCTGAGACTTTAAGCTTTGTGCCACCAGGGAAGGCTGGTCTGCATGGTCACATTATTAAAAAAAAACAAAAAGGCCCTTTCCTGCCCAATACTGCTTCCTGCTGACTCCACTAGGGGGTCAGGCAATGCAGTCTGTGCCTAGTCTGTCAGCTGGCCTCATATGGCCCTCACCCCCTGAAGGTTTGTAGTGAGCAACTTCTCCCAAGTCCCACAGCTAGTAAATGAAATATTCATAGTTTGGTTATGGACTGTGGGACTCCAAATATTAGTGATATCTGTCATCCTTAGTGGTCACCCTGTGTGCCTATGGGCTCAGTACCTCCCCTGCAGAAATGTTTAACCTTCACATCAACCATAATGCTAGTTACTGTGACCCGTTTTCAGCTCCAACAGACTCAGAGATAAGGAAGCCTGCTTAGAGAGTCCTGCAACTGGGGACAACAATTTTGGCCTCAGGGACTTTGACTCTTAGAGGCTGCCTGGTCAAGGGCCTAATGGGAAAAAGGAGAGAGTAGTGGTTTTAGTAATAATCAGCTTCAGTAGTGAAGGGTGGGTCAGAGGGACTGGACAATATGCCTGTACTGTGGCCCCTTTAAGTTCAAGATCTGTGGAGTTTGGATTTAATGAATTGATTTAATCACAGTGAATAGATTCACTTTCTTTGTACCCAGCACCTGTGGATGGAACCAAGATTGTGGAATTAGGTAAATAAAATTGAATATGTAAAAAAATTAAGGTTAAAATTCCAGGAGAAAAGTTTACTCTTGTCAGAATGAATTGCATTCACCCATGCATCTGTCCACTGACTAATGAAGCCAGTGGAATATTATGCAGCCTTAAAAAGGAAATGCTGACCAATGTTATGATAGCTGAGTAAAATAAGACAGTCATCAGAGGACAACTACTGTATGAGTCCACTCACATGAGGCATCTAGAATAGTCAAATACATGGAAACAGTAAGTAGAATGGTGGTGGCCAGCAAATGGGGCAGGGAAATAGAAAATTTAGTCAGGGGGAATGAAGAATCCTAGAAATGAATGGTGCTACCACAGCAATGTGAGTGCTTTTAATATCACTAAACTGTGCACTTAAAAATGATTAAAATATACATTTTATCACAATTTTTAAGAAAAGGAATTCATAAGGCGGTACCAGAATCTGCCTGCACAGAAACAGCAGCATTATCTGTCTGCATTTATTACTATAAACATGGAAGTCAGCTGATCAATTGTATGCCAAGCAAACTCATTGTATTTCTCTAAAAACCTCAGCAATTCAGACTCAACTCTGAATCCCACTGGCCCATGCCTGCAGCCTGAGAGAGTTGATGGAGAAGTCTCCACTTCTGAGCCCTTTTCTCAGTCTAACTGCTTTTTAAAGAGCCTTGTTTTCCTGAAGCCTGTAATTACGTTTGCCTCCAGGGTACTCAGGCATTTTTTTTTTTTAATAAGCAAAGAGCATCCTACAATTATGATGATTTGTTGAGGACAGGCCAAGCACAGACAGGAGGCTGACTCACCTCTGGAAACGAAGCTCACGTGTTGGTGTTTGTGTCTCGGAGGCCCTGCCGGCGACTAATTAATATTAAGAGCTGGAGAGTTAACAGACCCACGTAGGTGTCCGCTGTGTGCCCCTGACAGGCCAGGGCAGGCAGCTCAGTGGGATCTGGCCTTCCTGAGGCTGACCGCAGCCGGGAACAGGGCCTGGCTTCAGAGGTGGTTCTAGGTAAATATTTCCAGCCGGTGTAACGGCCGCGTCCGGATGCCGTCGTAACCTGGGGCTGCTGGAGCCACAGGCCGTGGAGGCCAGCATGGGCAGAAGCCTGCCGGCTCTGTCAGCCCTGATTTGCCGGCCCAGCCTGTAATCTCCTGGAGTTCAAAGAGTACCTAGTTGCTTGTCTTTGTCAAGAGCATGGTCGGGGATCTTTTATGTGAAAGATGTAGGGTTCTCGGTCTGACTTTGATTATTTATTCATCCTGCTTCGTGGGTGTGTGATAGCCCTGGTGTGGAGGAGCCCCCATCCCGACTGCCTTGCTCTGAAATTCATTGAGCTTTAAAGCCCTTTGAAAATGGCTTTGCCAGGGAGGGGTAAAGTTTTTGAAGTCCTGTTTCTCTCTCCCCCTCCACAGTGCCGCAGCACCTTCTGCCACCGTTCCATGCTCCCTTGCCGCTTGACATGCGACACCAGGAGGGAAGGTACCATTACGAGCCTCACTCTGTCCATGGCGTGCACGGGTAAGTCCAGCCCTCTGCCCGCTGCCCCAGTCGACCATCACCTTGGCCACCTCTCCCGACTCTGTCTTTTTATCTTTGGAGTTCTTGATCTGCATCTTCATGAACAGACTGTCACCGCTGCTGTGAGTACACGGACCCGGGACCGTGCATCCATCAAGACCGTGTAGCCACACAAGACCAGCTCCCTCTGGTCTTGTACCTCCCCACTTCCTTGGCTGCAGGCTGTCCTGGTGTGTCCATAAGCACCCCAAGGTGCTTTCCTACCCACCCAGTGGGAACCCCCTCCAGACCAAATGCCCCATGCAAGTACAGTGACTTTAGTTATATGTTGTTCTAGCATAATCCAGGTGCCCCTTTAACGCTCTCAAGTGTCTCAGTTGGACTATAAATAATAGGGTCATTCTACTGATAAGGACGGGTTCAAAGTTATACTTTGGGGCTTCTTTCTACTCCCTGCTTTGAGACCCACCTGGGGGAAGGGCTGTCTTTTGTGTGGTCTCATTATTCCTAATATTACCCCTTTTCGTTCCCACCTGGGGCCTGGAAGCCCATAGCTGATGTCACTGTTCTCAGTTTTTTATGACTCAGAGGCTCCGGGCTCTTGTCACCCCATCATTTTTGCTTCCAGAAAAAAACCTTCCCTCCATCCCCAACATCTCTGCTGCTCCGTCCTGCGTGAGTGGGGATCTGCTGCAAGGATCTGCAGATTCCAAGGCTCCTTTGACTGAGCCACCTCACCTGTCCATGGCAATCCCGTCACTTGTCCCCATGCTTCAGGTCCTGCTCCCAGCCTGCCTAGATCGTCGCTCTTCCTAGCCACCTCCTACACATTCCCTAAGCCTCAGCTCAGGAGCTACCTCCTTCTGGGGGCACTGAGATCCCCGACACTGAGTGGGGATCCTTCTCCAGCTCTCCAGCCCACTGCCCCCCAACAGAATCTCAGCTTCCCTGTCACTTCTTCAACAATAAGGCACACTGCCCACATCCACGGAGTACAGAGCCCTTCTCACGCCATCACCCATGGATGCACGGCCTCACTGCTTCTCCCACCTCCCACTCAAACTAAGTCAGTAAACACTTGTTGGGCGCACACTGTGTCCAGGTACTGTGCCTGGTTGGGAGGTAGGTGACTGGGCAGGTGGCCCAGCCTCTAGGCACCTACTGCTCCTCCAGGGCAGATCTCACATGATTATTATATCAGACATATAAAAACAGTTGCAAAAATAATGCAAAGATTTCCTGTCGACATCTCCCCCCAGCTCCTCAAATGTTAACATCTTACGTAACCAAAGATAGTACAGTGCCATTAACTAATTTTTCAACCTCATGCAAATGTGATCAGTTGCCAGCTAATGTCTCTTTTCCTTCCCAGGATTCAGCTTTTGCATTTACTGTCATATCTCCTTAGTCATCTTTAGTCCAGGACTCTTGCTCAGTCTCTTGTCTTTCACAACCTTTGCATTTTGGAAAGGACAGGCCAGCTACTGTGCAAAATGTCCCTGATTTGGGTTTGTCTGACACTGCCTCATGATTCAGTTCAGAATATGCATTTTGGGGAAGAAGACCATAGAAGTGGTGTTGCGATGCCAGGCACGGCGCCACTTCTTAGGGCTGCAGAAGTTAGTTTTGATCATTGGGGTAAGGGGAGGTCCAGTGGCTTTCTCCATTTTGCAGTTGGTCCCTTCGGAATTAATATGTATTTTGTGGGGTAGCACTTTGATAATATGTAAATATCCTGTTTCCCATCATGTTTTCACCCACTAACTTTAATATTCAGTGACGGTTCTCTTGCTAGAAACAGTTATTGCTAGTGTTTGTTAAATGCTAGTTTTCTTTTTCCCTCATTCTTTCCACATTTATTGATTAGAATTCTACCATAAGAAAGAGCTGGTCCTTCTTCCCCATTTCTGTCTTTCTTTGATAATTTATTTGTATCAAATAAATGCATGGATATATATATTATTTTATGAGTTAGACTCTATTATTATCACTAGTTATCATACTGTTCAAATTGTCCCGGATTTGGGAATAGGGAGTCCTTCAGGATTTCTCCCATATCCTTCAGACATGTGGGGTATTTTCATTTTATTTTGGCATCTGTAGCTGGTTCTCACGTGGTTAGACCTCGTCAGTGACTGGGCTGTTCCAGCCCTCTGCCCACCTCCTAGGCAGCTTCTGGAAGGTGTATAAATCTGGAGCTAGTAGATCACCCCAAATCATTGGGTTGGTGGAAAGCGAATATGTACCAAGGGAGCTGAGTTCCTGTTTGGAAGGGGATTGGAATTGCCTGTTCGGTGTCACAGGACAGGGACACAGGCTTCCTGTCCAAGGCTGGTCAGAGAGGTAGACAATGCTGGAAGCTCCCTGGAGGGGGAACCCACAGGGTTTACATCTCTGTAGGTGACTACCCTGGTTCACATCTCCCCACATACCTTGGGGCAAAAACAGAGATCTAAGAAAACCCCACCATTGGTGACTATAATTTCTGATGGTAACAAACCTTGCCAACATACTTCGGGCGTCTCATCTCTTAATCCTTTCAAGAACCCTGTAAGATAGACGTTTTTTTAATCATCCCCATTTTACAGATGAAGGAACTGAGGCAGCACAGAGATGTTAAATAACTCGCCTTCAGGGCCGCTCACCTGGAGAGAGGGGTTAGAAGTGTAATGATCGCCTTGGCCCTCAGCCTCACTCATGGACCTCAAGTACCTTATATGGTCCATGTGATTCTTTCTTAAAAGCATATATATCCCTTTGTTAGGGTCCCACCCTCGGGTCAGCAGTTCCCCAAACCCTGGAGCAGCAGCACCAGTGTTCCCTGGGAGCCTGGTAGGAATGCAGAGTCGCGGGCCCCACCCCAGACCTGCTGAGTCAGTCTCAGACCATCTGTGTTTAACACAACCTCCGGGTGATGTTGCTGCAGGCTCAGGCCTAGGGTGTTCTGGCTGCAGGCAGGGACTTGCCACTGAATAAGGGTCCCCCAGTGCTGTCCCTCCAGAGCTAATTGGGACCTGTGGGCTTTAATGCCACCCCCAAACCTTATCCAGCCTTTGCCATTTCCCAGCTCTGGGTTAAACACAGTCATTCCCTCTCTGGGTCTGCTTCCTTCCTGACCTGTGAAGGCAGGTGTAGGCAGAGCCCCTGAGGAAGTAGAAAGTGATGATGGCAGGCAGCCGGTGAAGTCTGACCAGGCCAGCTGGCCTTGGAGATGACCTTGCTGCTCACGGGCCTAGATGGCCCTTTCACTAGATTTGATCGCTGAAGGATAGCGTAGTAGTTTCCTATAGTTCTGTAACAAATTACCTCTAACTTAGTGGCTTAACAATACATTTATTCTCACACAAGGCTGGAGGCTAGAAGTCTGAAGTAAGTCCTATGTCCCTAAAATCAAGATTTTGGCAGGACTAGAGCTCCTTCTGGAGGCTCTAGGAAAGCATCTCTTTCCTCCACTTTTCTAGCTCCCAGACGCTGCCTGCTTTCCTGGCCCATGCCGCTGCCTCTTGTCACATCGCCTTTTCTCCCCACCTCCGCCTGACTTCTTCATCTTCTGCTATAGCTTTCTCTTTCTTCCTCTCCTTCTCTGGACGGCTTCTAGGGCCACCTGGATCATCTCGGATAATCTTCCTGTGCTGAGACCCTTCATCCATCTGCACATCCATTTCCCCATAGAAGAGAGCCAGTTCCTGGGATTAGGATGTGAGCATCTGTGGGGTCATTACTCAGGTGCCTGTGGTGAGTCTGGCATCACCCGCAGGGTGGTGTCTGGGGTGTCACTCACTTGCTCCGGGCTCTGCTGTGGCGCCTGCACGCTATTACACTCAGTTATCTTCCCACAGCCCCGGGAGATGGGGTTAGAACCTGTATCTCACAGCTGCTGGTGCTGAGACTAGGAGAGGTGAGCTGACTTCTACCCATCTTCCCAGTGTGCTTGTGTCTGCTCAAGGGTTGAGGGGAACAGGCTTTCCGGCGCAGGCTCCCCTCCCCAGCCAGGGAGGGGCTTGTCCCCTTCACTGCCCAGTGAGGAGCAGCAGCATGTGTTCCCAGAGCCCGGGTCCTGCTGGGCTACCAGGGCTCCATATTATCCTCAGGACAGTCGATCCCTGCCCAGGCCCTAGGGCGATACAGTGAGCTCTTCAGGGCTAGCCTCCAGCTCTGGGGGGCCCACCCTTGGCCCCCACCCCCAGCGCCCCAGGTGGAAAACAGGACAAAGCCTATGAAAAAATGGCCCCATGGCTCTGGCTTCTGTGATTAATGTGGTCAGAGCCTGGTGGAGCGCCCGATCCATCAAGCCCCTGCTGTAGCCCGCTCCTTCTTGCTGGCGCCAAATGTGTCTAATTACACAAATGTTGCACAGCAAATGAGGTGCAGTGTCATCTCTGGTCAGCCCCAGCCGGAGCCTGTACCTGCTCCTGGCTCACAGGACACCGGCCTCTTGGTTTACATGATCTTCATGGTGCAATGAGTGAGCGCCCAGCTGGCTGTGCATATGTGCTCCAAGTGTAGTGCTCCGTGCATGGTGCTCCCTGGCCCGGCAGAAGTGCTGCTTTCACCAGCCCTGCCAGGCTACCGGGCCTTCAACCCCAGTGCTGAATTCACCAGCCGTGGGCGACTAACTAACTGAATGGATTAGCCTTAGTTTTCTTATCTGTCAAAGGGCATAATAATAATAATAGCTGCCCCATCAACTGAGTTATTTTGAAAATTAAATGGGGAAATGTGGTAAAGCATATAGAACAGTGTGGAAACGTTCCATGGATATTAACAGCAGTTGCTATTACTGTTGTTATTTCCATGTGCCTAGTAGAGAAGGGGGTTCACTGCAGGCCCAGAGACCTGTGTGGCAGAGGCAAGCCGGGGCTTGTCGTTGGGCGAGACTCCTGTCCAGTCTGTGACATTGAGGGTGGAAACGGGACTGAAAATGTACCACTGCAGGTGGAGAGAAGTAGGACCTTTTTTTCCCACGTGAGGAATTTGTCCTTGATCCTTTTGGCTACCAG